CTGTGAATGCATCAACTTTTCCTGGATCTATTCCTTTCTGTTCAACAAACGAATAGTGTTTTGCCCTGACTCTTGGTAAAACTTACTGGCTTAGCTATCTTAATGAACCAGTGGACAGCTGAGTTGTTGAAACTAATTATAGACTGGATGAATGCTATGGGCGTATCCCAACAAGTGTGCACATGTGGTTTGCGCCACCTTAAGCCCATGTGAGGTGCTGCAAACCACACAAGGGACCTATACACCTATTTGGCACAATGCAAATTAGCAACACAGTGGGTTTTTTGGACACTGGGAGATCCTGGTGCCAAAAAAACTGCATGTACTGCCAGAAATGGAGCCTGTCGAGCTAGCGCCATACCCTAGCTGCTAGCCAGGCTCTGAGTGACTGGCTTGGTGCTGCTGTTGCCCCAGGAGGCCCCCAGGACCGCAGGTAAGGCTGGTGCTGGCCCCAGTCTCCCCTACCCAACCTGGGTCAATTAGTTGTGTGTCAGAGTGTGCATACAGGGGTGTGTCTGGGAACAAATAGCAGTGCCACATCTCAATTCGTGTAAGATCTGTAGCATGGGCAATTGGTGTTGCCTTAGTCAGGGGGGGCACGTGCCCCCCAACGACCAGTCAGTGACCGAGGGAGGACCCCCCCCACAGCCAATCTTGCTGACCGGGCGGGGGGTTCCTCCGTGGCCAGTCACATTGGCCCTCCCGCCTGCCCCCCCTGCCCATTGCCTAAGCAGCAAGTGCGGCCAGTCGGGTTACATGTGCACCCCAGTGTACCCCTACGCATCACCACTGGTCTGTAGAGTGTTGGCACCGTTCCTACATGAAGCTTCCACATGTTGGTGGAGTTGGAGAGTGGTATTGCCTCAATAAGAGACCCTACATGGATCTCAGCTGCACTGCCAACATATGTTGAAGGCTGGATCGGTCTCAGCAATAGCTTAGCTAGGGGCAGCACGAGCCCCAGGTGGCGACTGAGGAGGGACACCAAAATCATCCCTCATTCCTGCGGAGCCTGAGGTCCAGCAGCAAGAGCAGTCATGCAGGATTGCTCTTGCAGCAGCATTCAATGCATAGACACTGCAGTGCTTCTGCTTTAAGAGCAAGAGCTGGGATAGGCAGAGCACACAGTGATGGTAGCAGAAGCAGCAGCAGCAGCCTTGGTCTGTTTTGGGTAAGACTCCTGCTCCCCACCCCTGGCACTAGGGCACAAACCCTGCTCTTAACACTACAGGGCATCAATGGTTCTGCTCAATTCCTTCTGGGATAGAACCTGGAAGTAAGTGTGAAGACAGGGCTTACAGTTAATGCGGCAAAAGAAGAGATGGGAGAGAAGTTACAGAAAGCTGAGGGGAAGACTGAAGTATGAGAGAAGAGATTGGAGAAACAAGAAGAGGAAAAGAGGAGAGGAGGGAAGACAAAAGTCCAGCAAATAGAAGGGAGAAGGATTGGGCAACATTTTTTTTGTTTCCCACAACAGCTCTAAAGAACCTTCTAATTTTACTGCTCACTGACCATGCCACAAGCATCCCATATGAAGCCCTTCTTCACTACCATAGAAGATAAATTGTCTTTATTTTTTCACTTTGGAAAACATGTAATTCTAGTTTGGGATGAGATACTTTACATTTGATTTTGGCTAAGAAATGTGACGCTGTACTTGGTTTAGATATGGAAGGTAATTTATTCTCTTGTTGTTTCCCAGGTTCACTGAAATCAAACCAGGCTGCCTGAAAGTCATGTTGAAGTAAAAAGGTGGTATGAAGGAGAGTGTGAAAACTGAGGATTCATAACACAGCTAGAAACTTTAAACAGCTACAGTAAATATAATTTAATTTTCTTCAAAGAACAGTGTTTTAGTAGCTGTTTTATAACAATTAGTTTTGACAGCATGTTTCCAAGAAGGTTTTAATACTGAAATATATATTTTTTGTAATCCCAAAGAGTAGTATTTATCAGAAATACAGACTTGGAACACATAAATGTACATAAGAGATTTTAAAGGGAAATCAAGGTGCCATTTTCAAGCACCTCATCCTTCTCAGTGCAGCTGGGGCCTAAGATTATCTCTGACCCTGTACATTTTAATGGTTGTGGATGCAGTACTTTTTAAAATACATGCAGTAACTTGGACAATTTTAACTTGTTTAAAATAGTTTATTCTGAGTTAGAATTTTGGGTTTCAAAGAGTGTGAGGGAGCTATGTTGCCAACACGCATGGAAATAATATCCAGTGGGAAATGGGTGCCTACACACAGGGTTCATTTGAAAATTTTGGCTCTGGTCTTTTCAGTGGTAGATTCTGAAGAACATGAACCAGTTCTGCTGTGTTTATTCATACACAGTTCTGAATGGAAGCTACATCATCTGAGTGAGGACTCAGAATGGGGCATGAATTAAGTAAGGAAAATTTGCAAACTCACCTTAGTTCTTAATGGGGTGGGAAAAGAACCCTCATTCTCAACTCTACCTGTGTGAATATATTAATATTTTACAGGAAAATCACCCATTTTCCTGAATAGCAATATACACAGTGAGCAGTGTTTAGTCTTTTATGAATTTTCAAAATGAGTCCTGTTATGAGTACGGTTTCATTTTAATGAAGTTTTGTTGATGATGTATTTCCATTCTTTGTGTTTAAATAAATCAAGATACAATACAATAAATATATTGACACTTCCTCTGCAGCGAATATGATGTTTTTAACTGTAGGGCATTTCAAAATGCAAGAGACAGTGGTTTCTTAGGGTGACATCTTTTATTGGACCAACAGTGTAGTTGCGATAAAGTTAGACAAGCTTTTGAAAGCAAAACATGCCTTGCATTCAAAAGCTTTTGTCTAACTTTATCCCAACTACACAATTGGTCCAATAAAAGATGTCACCGTAAGAAATCCTTGCCTCACACAATTTCTGAACCAACATGGCTACAACATCACTGTTATACCACCAGGCATTTCAAACACATTTTCAAAATTAAAACAAATATTAGAATGGCAGTTGGTTAATTGTAAAATTTGGGAGTACAGAAATCAATCCTTTGGCATTATTAGTGCCATATCATCCAGAAAATATACTTAGAAATAACATTAGAAAATCCTGCTATACTTTTAATAAATGTTTTTCAATAAACAGAGCATTTTATTTTCAAAAAAAAAAAAGAACACAAAGATATCTTGCAGTATGCTTTACCTTTTTAAATTTTTTATATGAAGTCTTGTTTTCAGAATAGTTGAGAGAAACAGTAGAAACAATGATGTGAAATATTTTTAATGTTTTTAAACTACTATTTTGGTAAATTTAATGGACTGGTTTTTCAAAGCAGTGTGCCTTTGTGTACCCACAAATACTGGAATCCATACATACTACCAAGTGTATGTCACTGTTGCATACCAATGGGTTATGTGCAAGTTTCATTTGTTTCCACAAATAACACAAGCAAGGATTTAGTTTGAGTAAAGATGTGCGCACATATGTAGAGGTCCTTTTAATAATTTGTCCTTATGATGACAATTAACTAATTTAAACTGAAAGATCTTATGTTTTCAGAATATTTTTATATTCATGTAGTGTAATGCATACATATGTGCATAGTTACTAAAGGGTACTATAAATATAAAAGTGAAATTGTCATATTTCATCAGATACAGTTATGTTTCTCTAGTAATTCTAAGCAAAGTCTGAGTGATGATATAAATACATTTAAGACACTGTCAAGAAAATAAATCTTTGTAATTAATAACTGTGCTTCGGTTTGTGGGCATTTATGCATGTAATTTAGTCCCTTTACTTTATCTCTGTGCCATTTTTGTAGGCAGTGTCTGAAATATAAGAACTCAGTTCTTCAGGTGCTTATGAACAGAGTTTCCTGTACACTTTTGTATGTTGCTTTATACGTTAAGGTTCTGAATATGGTAATGAGTAGTTATATAAAGCCATAAGAAAAATGTCCTTTATCCTTTGGAGTTAGTGGCAAAATTTCCATTGACTTCAGTAGTGCACGAGTGAAGTGTAAGGCTTTTGTTCAGTAAAACTTTTAAAATATGTGCTTCATTTCATTAAATTCAATAAGATTTTAGACGCATGCTTAAATGTTTTCTCATTTGGGGCCTAAAATGGAGTAGAAAAGCAGAGCAAAGAGAATTACATAACAAGAAAGGAGATCAAAATTTTGAGTTATTTGCGATATTGTCCAGAAGAAACCCTGGGATGTTATTATTTTGTAGCCTTTGTTTCAGACTGTCCAATATATTTAGTTTACAGTGGGAGGAACTGTTTTTAAATAAGTATATTTTAAATGTTATTTTAAAATATGTTAAATTATGGCCTCCAACCTTTATGATAGCTTTTTAAAAGAAACTGATTATATAATTTTTACTAAGAAAACGCCATGCATTTTTGTAACTGTACTTGTAAAAACAACAAAAAAAACCCACAAAAAGACTTTCAGAAGCATTACCACCAGCATTCTGAAGTAATAAAAGATTGTTAAAATAGCTGTGTGTTAGTTTATTTTTTTATTTATCTTTTTTTCATTTAACAAACTTCTGGAGGTTGACAGGCCAAAAATGTGATTCCTTTCTTTTAAAAATATAATATTTTTAAAGTTCAATTAATTTTTAAATGATAAAAAATCTTTGAAATTATTTTTTCCTAAAGGAAACTTAATGCCAGCAGACCAGCATTCATGAACAACCCTTCAGTAACAGACCCACAAATGCAATGAAAGAAAGCATGATTCTATTAAAAAAAAAACAAAAACGTATGTGTGCTTTTTGCATTAAAGATCAGTTTCAGATTTCCAGAAACTATAAAAAAAGATATTAGGGCAGAACTGGTTTTAAAACTTTAAAAAAAAATACCTTGAATACTACTTTTTGTTTTTTCTTTTATAGTTTGTGGTTCAGTTTTTCTTAAGCATACAATATATTTCCAAGCTGGGTTAAGGTTATTTTAAACATAGTCACAGTGGTGCATTTGTGATATTATGAAACTGGAAATCTTTGTTACTCAGGAGGCCAGAATCTAACAATGTTACCAGTGCCCCTCAGTAACTTGTAAAGAGATTAGTCGGCATGCACTGTAAAGTGTTGTTCATCGCGTGCTCTACAGAACTTGTATTCTGGACTTTACTCTGAGGTGAAAGGTAACTACATTGATGCCTAATCTCCTTTGTAAAACATGGGCAGGTGGAGAGAGAATAGTCCCAGTGTTGGTATTATTAATAAAGGGACATTGTAAATGTACTGAGATGTATAATGCATAGAATTCATATTACTGATGCTTATATCTTCAATTGTAATTCATGTTTCAAAAATGTCAATTTCCTTTGTTTACTGAATTGAAGAGAGGATGGAGTACAACACACGGAAAATCAAATAGTACATTGATTTCCTTCAAGTCTGTTGCATCACAGTTTGTTTTTTCTTTAAAAAGAGAACAAATAAGTGATTTTTGCTGTTTCACCTAGCCAGTTGTGTTGAGTACCCAACTGTGGTACCTATGAAAGTTCACGTATTAAAAATACAGTATTGCAGCTATCAGTTGTAAAAGCTATTTGGACCAGTATATTGGAGGATAGAAATTTCTATCTTAAATTTGAAATGGAACATGGATTTTTATGTGTATAAAGTTGTAATTTTGCTGTTAACTATTATTCTAATTTTTTACTGGAATACAGTTTTGTAATTTGCATTTAGAATTTCTTATGTAAAATGAATTTACAAATGAAATCTAGTTTAATAAAGAAATTTTACCACAAACATGATCTTCAGTCTTTCCTTGGAGGACTAATGTTGACATTTGAAATAAACTGGAATGTGGATCTTTTATAAGAGTTACTTGTCTCGACTTCAAGAAACAAACTGTGTTGTAGAAATATAGTTACCATCTGCAAAGATAGAAAGTAACAGACCTGATTTTATGTGATGTGAATGGGAGTGTAGTGTTCGGTATTTTAGAAATCAGGTAATCTGATAATTTATTTACCTATTTAAGAAGCCAAAACAAGACCACTTGTCCAAATCCTTTGTACTGCCCAAGTAAACTAAAGAGATGACAAGACATATGGAACCTTTTCTAATCTACCTGTAGTGTACCTGAGCAGCAGCAGAGCAAAATACATTCCCAAAGAGTGCCGAAAGAGCAGTGGGAGGAGAGCCTGTACTTGCACCCACTCCACAAATCCCAGTAGGAAGGGTTTGTAGCTGGCTGACTCATATATATGTTGATGCTATAATGTGAAGTACATGCTAAGGTGGAGCATTGTTCCCATGATGTGCTCTGAGCCCTCTGTCCGTTGCTGTAGTATGTAGCCATGTGACAGATGTAACTTTACTCTTACACTTGTTAAGCTCCATCAGTTAAGGACTAGTCTTAGGGCTTGATCCAATTAAGTCCTGGAGATGCCTAGGTATGCCGAAAATTGAGGTACTTCAAGCCATTCAGGAAGCTGTTCAGTTTGCCCAGGTATAGGTGCTGTTATACATAGAGATGGGAAAAGGAGCAGGTGTCTTTAAAATTAGATTCAGAAAGTTACAGCTAGCCAATAGGAAACACTAAGCACAAGGTTGTAACTGAACTCCTACCTTCTGAGGAGTTTAAGTGCTTGATTCAGGCTGAACTTTATAACTTACAATGCAGTTGCCTAGTCCTATTTCTGAGGGGAAGGGTAGTAAGGGCCATTCCTATATTTTGTCAGTAGATCTGGGTTTATGTGGCCAACATTTTCTACTTCTTTGAAGAAGGCCCTAACTACCAAGTTATAGAATAGCAGCTGCTGGCACTTAACGCTGCTGCAAGTCAGACCCCAGGGTCTCAAGCCAAACACCCAAAATGTGAAAAATGCACAATTAATGACTGCCTGCAGAAAGTTTGTATTAAGTGACTTGTCCAGTATCAGGTGGAAGCTCTGTTTCAAAGGAAAGGCTAGCATTCAGATTTTCAGGCTGGCATTCAATTGCCTTAATAATGCCTTTCTCTTGGACTTCTAGTGGATGTAATCTCCACCCCAGTCTTTATTCTCAGTCACTGTAGACAATGTCACCATATTGCCTGTCACATAGGCCTGCATGCTAGAAGATCTGAGAGTCAACTTTGATTTAAAAGTCTCTAGGTCAGGGGTCAGCAACCCCTGCACACATGTGAGAGCATGGCACATGAAGCCATTTTGCTTGGCGCACCAAAGCCAGCCTAGGCTCTGGGCAGCTGCTGTCAGCCACAGAACCCATGCTGCTCATAGCAGGTGGCCGGGAAGCTGCAAGCCCTATTGTGAGCAGCCTGTGCTCTGACAGGCAGCAGGCAGGCTGCAACCAGGGTCCAGGCACCTGCCTAACCTGTGGCAGCAGCTGCATGCATGTCTCAAGATGCAGGGTGGGAAAGAGGCTTGGGGCAGTGCAACCCTGGTATCTCCCCCACCATCTGCCTGGAGGCATGTATGCAGCTGCTGCTGCCACAGAGCCAGGCGAGGGCTTTTGGACCCTGGTGTAGTGGTTGCAGCCTGTTCACCACCTGCTGAGTGTGGAGGTATCTACCTCCTCCCCTTCATTTAGCAGAGATGAGGGAACCCACACCAGCAGCCCTCGCCGGCAGCACCAGGGGCGGGATGCGAGTGGAGGAAGTGGCCCAGGGCCAGGCTGGGCTGGGCTGAGCTGAGGACTCTTGGCTGCGGATGCCATGGGGCTGGCTTC